TAAGGAGGTTGTATATGAAATTTGAAGTCATTTAATAGAGTTTTGGACTGGTTTTGAACAAGAATTATAACTGAAAATCGTGAAAGAAGTTCGTCTACAGACGCTTGTATAAAAGTGTATAAGATGTGTTTATACACTCATATACACTATTATACAAGATTATACAAAAAACTGACTTCGCCTTCTACCTTGCGTATTTTCTGAAATTTAACTCAAATCTTGCTCAAATCTACTTCAAATCACTTCAATTTAAATTTTGAACTCCTTTTGATATTTTCAATCAATTGGGACAACACCCAATCCAAACAACTAATAAACTCAAAAAATCCTATTTTCAAAAGCAAAGCTTTGAATGACCTTCAATGGTGAATTTCTACTCTTCAATTTTCTGACATTGCAAACAGGGGGAGAAGCAGAAAATACACTGCCCCTTGAAGCATATGTTCAAGATGTGAGAAGAAGAGAGAGTGAAAGCAATGGTTGTGAGAGCTCAGATTTAACTCCATAGCTTTTAGAAACAATGATTGTAAAAACACAGATTTTAAATTTGCTAATGCTTTCAAAATATGTACAATATGAGCCAGGTAGTATAAAACTTAAAAATATGGGCCATTTTTTTTACTATGGTGTAAACTCGTATGTATTTTTTTGTAATTCTTTCTTTTTTTAGATGTCATAATATTTGCGTGCTAATATGCCTATAAAAAGATTTTATTAAGCTTAAAATGTGACTATAAAGTTAAATTACTTTTATTTATACATATGTGTTATTTTTTTTAACGAACTAATAAAAAACACGGTGTCACATAAGTTATAGAAGTGCATTATATATTCAAACATAAAATGCAGAGCTCCTCCATTTAGAAAGAAATGCAGATATCCTTCATTTAGTTACTTCGTATTGGTGATCAATAGCACTCTAGTTAAGTTTCATTCTTTCGTTTTGCTCATTTTTACCTCCTACAGCAAAGGTTAACACCTTATTTATTTTAAATAAATACCATTTAAAAAAATTATATTCTATAGATACCTTTTAAGATTTATAGCAAAATATTTAATTTTGGTTACCTCCTAGCCCTAAGCCACTAAATACGCTATTCAGTTACACTATTTTCTTTCTCTCTCTACTTTGATACATCTCATTCTCTTCCCCCATTCTCTGAAAACACGATACTCAATCTCAAAATTCCTCTCATCCACACTATTTTCTTTTTATTCCGATCAATTCTTGCACCAAATATTTGAATTGCGATTTCTCTGTCATCAATTCTCGCCATGGGTTTCGTTCATATATTGCCCGATGCATCCGAGAGCTTGTCTAGCCCTTGCCTTCCTGAAAAACCGTGGGATGATTTCCCTTTTGCAGGGTTTATAGCAATGGTTGCGACAATTGGGATAATGATGGTGGATTTGGTAGCTATGAGTTATTTTAGGAGATCAAGAAAGGAGAATTTTCTGTTAAGGTCACCAAAAGAAAATCAAATCCCTAACCAAATCACTAAAAGCAAGTAATGAAAATAAGAAGACGCGTGTTGTACCTTCAAATCTCAAAGGTGTCGCGTGTTGTATCTTCAAACGTTGCTACGGCGGATTTGTTGGAAATTAGGGTTTGTTCTTGAACAAAGACGACGGAGTTTGGGGCTAAGAAACTTATTTTCTATTAATATATTTCAATGTATTTTCATGTATTTCATTGTATTCATTGTCTTTTTTTTTTTTGTATTCCATGTATTTCATTGTATTCACTGTCTTTTTTTTCATTGTATTTCAATGTATCCCGTTGTATTCTATGTATTTAATTGTATTCACTGTCTCGTTATATGTCATGAATGTATTCATATATTTTTCTAATTAATATAATTTATGTATTCGAATGTATTATATAATTTCTCTGAAGATTGCTATATTTTTAGGGTATTTTTCGGTTGAAAATCTTTTTTATAACTGAAAATACAAAATTTGTATGTTATAATTGAGTTTGTTGAGTTATATTAGGAGTCTATTATGTTAATTGATTCACTTTCCACTTTAATAATAGTGTAATCCCCTATTTCACGCTGTGAATACAGTTGAATACAATAAGAATATAATAATTTGTCCAGCTGTAATCCCATGTTTCACTCCATGAATACAGTCGAATACACTCGAATACAGCAACTGATTAGCTGTACTTCCCTGATTAACGCCTATTTTTGCTATTGTATTTATGAATACAATAGCTTAAATACATCAAATACATCTTATAACCACAGAAAAAGTATCTATAATCCGTAATATAGCAAATGATATCTATAGATGGCTAATTACTATTAAAAGATAGTGCTTTATGAAAATTTCTCTTTATAATACTGCATAATGTTTTTAATTCTTAGGACCAACTCAAATAAGATTGGATTTCCTGTTGTTGAAAGAACCAGCCTTTGCATTTCAGACCAACCATTTAATTCAATAAAAGTAAACCAGTTGACTAGACACTAGACACTAAGGATCCGTTTGGATATAGATTCCCAAATATTTGGGAGTTGCGTATGCTATTAAGGACTATTAAGCATATGCTAACTAGCAAGTTTGATATGAAGGACTTGGGAGTTGCGGATTTAATTCTGGGGATTAAGATCCAAAAGACTCCTCAAGGTCTGGCATTGTCACAATCTCATTATATTAAGATAGTACTTGAAAAATTCAAGCACTTAGGCTTTAAAGTTGCAAAGACTCCAATTGACGTGAATCTTGCATTAACAAAGAATAAAGGCCAAAGCATATCACAATTGGATTATGCTCGTGTGTTGGGATGCTTAATGTACATCATGAATTGTACACGACCAAATATAGCTTGTGCTATAAGTAAACTGAGTCGATACACGAGCAATCCAGGTCAATCTCACTGGATGGCAATGAAACGAGTTTTGGGATATTTAGAACATACCCAAAACTTTGATTTGCACTACAGTAAATATCTTGCGGTGATTGAAGGATATTGTGATGCAAATTGGATCACCGGTTCAACTGATTCGAAGTCCACAAGTGGATATGTATTCACTATTGGCGGAGGAGCAGTATCTATAAAGTCGTCCAAACAAACATGTATTGCCCGCTCTACAATGGAGGCTGAGTTCATATCCTTAGATAAAGCCGGTGAAGAAGCTGAATGGCTCCGGAATTTCTTTGAAGACATTCCATTTTGGCCCAAACCATTGGCACCAATATGCATATATTGTGATAGCCAAGCAGCAATTGGAAGGGCTGAGAGCGTTATGTATAACGGTAAATCTCGTCATATACGACGAAGACATAAAACCGTTAGGCAACTACTCTCTAGAGGAATTATCACGATTGACTATGTAAGGTCAAGTGATAATGTGTCAGATCCACTTACAAAAGGCTTAACTAGAGAGGTAGTTGAGAAATCATCGAGGGAATGGGACTATGGCCGAGAACAAGTCATTGTGGCGGTAAATCTACCTAGAAGACTGGAGATCCCAAGATCTAGGTTCAAGGAGATCAAACAAAGTCATTAATGACGGTTCAACATTGTCAACAAAAATTTTGGTCCATTCTCGTGATGAGACAATGTTCAGTACCAGGGATAAAGCATTAAGGCTTTTTAATGATTTCTAAATTTGATACAGGGTATATCAAATAGTGTATCTACGGGATGAATCGTTTAGGAATCACATATGTAAGTGTGAAGTGTTAGCCGCTTCAAGGAGAATTTTACAAGGCCAATTCTCTACGCACTATAAAACCAGGCAGTGTTCATGCCTGAAACGAACACAACAATGAGAACCAAAGACGGTTAAGGGATTGATTGTGTGACTTATGGTTGTCTAAGTATACACTAAAGTTCGACANGCATACTTCCGTGATATAGTCATTCCCCATTCATGTGGGGGATTGTTGAGTTTCTTTTTAATATAGAAAGGTATTAAAAAGAGGGTGAATGGGAAATGGAGGGAAATGAAAATTTTGAGTAAAATTTTAAGTTTCCCTCTCCTTTTAATGAGACATTGTCCCTCATTGGTAGAGGAAAAGGAGTTTGGTAGGTTTATATACAAATGCACTTCATGTAGCTCTTAAAGAGTTAGGAAGAAGGAAAGCCTCGCGCCGTCGTCGCTCGCTCGCTCGGCTCGCTACGGCTTCGGCTTCGGATTCAGATTTGGTCAAATGATCGATTGATTGATTAAATTTTTGCACCAAATTTATTTGTTAATAGTAAATATTAACGTAACAATATCCGTGTTTGTAACGGGTGTATTCCAAATCCGTGGATCTGTTCCAGCAACAAGTGCTCATTCCACCATACATAATTCTCCATTATAACAAATTGGTGCTACATCCACCATGAAAAAAAGTGCTCCACTAAATGAGTGGAATTGCACTATAAATAGATGGTGAGCAAATTGTTGAAACACACAGAAAAAACGGACAGAAAACAGAAAGCAACAAGCAATCTGATTTCCTCTTCTATTATCGCTCAACATTGGCTATAAATTGCATTTCCTTCTTCTCAGAATTTCCATTCGACTTCTGAGTTCTCCTCCTTTCTTGTGCATTGCTTTAAACTACAAACAAAGCAACTGTAAGTGTGATTTGCTGCCGAACTTTGTGTTCGCTGAAACACTGGGGTTTGAAGTACCGCTACACCAGTGTGTAATTCGTTCTATCCTGGGAGGAAATAATCCATAACCTTGGGTACTAGGAGGGGATTAAATTCCTTAAGGAAATACTGTGAATTCTGTGGGCTTGAATTAATTACTGTTTCATTTATATTTACGTTTATATGCTAACATTCTTTTCTCCAGAATTATTATTTACAAATACACGCTTAATTTAACAATTGTATATTGTCTTCATATTTTCAAAGAATCATCACGAATGTGTCGGAACTTTAGAAAATTTATGTAAAGAATTAAATGAGTTATAATTATTCTGAAAAGAAATTTAAAAAAAAATGTCTTGGACATACATGAATAAATACTATATGTGAACCAAACCTTACACTACATCATAGTTCAAGGAAATTCGGTTGCTTTTTTAATCTTTATTTTCTCCCCTATATTTACCAATTACTATTTTATTATTCTCCTAGCAATTTTTACTAATTCAATCACCTTCGTCTTCAACCATTCAACAATATGCTATCGCGCGTTTCGTTTCCATGCATGCAAAATAATCTCTCTAGAATGTTATTTTCCCTTTGATTGAATTCTTTTCGCCATCTTCTCTCTTTTGAGGTTCTTGGAATTTTCCATTACAAAATTAAAAGGATGGGACAACAGACGTTGATTTATAGCTTCGTTGCCCGGGGAACGATAATTTTGGCAGAGTACAGCGAGTTCACAGGAAATTTTAATAGCATAGCCTCTCAATGCCTGCAAAAACTGCCTACATCTAACAACAAATTCTCATATAATTGTGATGGTCACACCTTCAATTTCCTCTCCGACAATGGATTCAGTTAGTTTCATTTCATTCCTATTCATGATAATAACATTTTTTTTAATTTCCTTTTTTCTTTACCTGTTTTGATCAATTGTGGATCTATTTATTTGGTCATTTTGATTGCCTGGCATTAGTTATTCTCATTGTCTGGTGTTCGTTATTCAATTGCATGTACATACTTCATAATGAGCTTTCTTTTATGCATGCCAATGTGGTGGAAGTGTCGAATAATCAACCACAATTGGAGATACTGAAATAAAAAGAAGAAGAAAAAAACCCATAATATTGGTAGATTGAGGGTTATTTGTTGGTAAAAGGGATTTTATAGATCAAGAAATGTGAATTATACAGTGTACCCTGAACATATGACCTTTTGCTATTTTCATCCACTTTCTGCTTCATTTGCCTTCTTATGTGTGACTAGGAAAAGCAAACTGGCGGGTCGGGTCGGATATAGTTCGGGTTGAAAACGGGTAATGAAAAGGATAAATTATTCGACGCGACCCATATTTAATACGGATAAAAAACGGATTAACCGGCGGATAATATGGATAACCATATTGTCCATGACTTGCATATGATCACTTTTTGGAGAATTCTTAGTTTCTCTAACTTGAGGAACCCCCAATTTAAGGCTTTACAAATGTAAATGTTAGACCCATTGGTTATCCATTGTTTACCCATTAGTTATCCATTTTCTAAATGGATAATATGGTTCTTATTCATATTTGACTCATTTTTAAAAAGTTCATTATCCAACCCATTTTTTAGTGGATAATATGGGTGGTTAACTGTTTTCTTTTAACCATTTGCCACCTCTATGTGTGACTAAAGATCTACGTACCATGTCATCTATAGTATCGCTTCATACTCATAGTAAAGTCGCATTTTCGGTTTCAAGCAAGGGTAGAGCGACATAGCCCGAAGGGGTTCAATTTGAATTCATTTCGTTGAAAAATTATATTGTGCAAATAGGATAAAAACATAATTTTTTGGTATATATAAACGTTTGAATATCCTCGAAGCAAGAAAAACTTTTAGTGAATGACAAATGTGGTTCCAAAATTACTTCTTTATCATAGGATAATTCGTATGTAGGGGGGTTTCGTGCGCCTTTTTGAATCTCCTATTAGGATTCTTGTTGCTACTGCGAGTTTCAAGGAATCATCATAGACTGGAGGCCAATACACAAGGCATCCTATGTTGACACAGTGAGTCATACCTACCTCAAGTGGTATGATGTAAACAGCCTCATGTAATGCAAGCTTTAGTGATTACTTTCACAGCTTAAACCCACGAGCTACAGGTCACACAGAGGTTGCTCCAAGGCTCATCGTAGACTATTCATTTCATTCTCATAAAATGGCCAACATTAGTTCTGAATGGCGTATTCTATTTTTCTCAGTGTTTGTTAAAATATTTGTTACAAACTTGACCTGTTAAATACTATCTTAATATATCATTGAACCTCATTTACTTTGATACTGCAGCATATTGCGTGGTGGCTACTGAATCTGCAGGCAGGGAAATCCCCATTGCCTTCTTGGATCGTGTAAAGGATGATTTTAGCAAAAGATATGCTGGAGGAAAAGCTGCAACTGCTAGTGCTAAAAGCCTGAATAGGGAATTTGGGTAACTTTCTTTGTCAATAATAATTAACATGTACATATATTATCATTGTACAGGAATTACTAAACAATTGTTTTCACACGCCAATGTAGGTCAAAATTAAAGGAACACATGAAATACTGTGTTGATCATCCTGAAGAAATCAGTAAGCTTTCTAAGGTCAAGGCTCAAGTTTCTGAAGTCAAGGGAGTTATGATGGAAAACATTGAGAAGGTAATATTTTTTTTTAATTAGGTTATACTTTATCCAAAACTTTGAAATAAAAGGAGTCACATCTGACAACATGGGTGTTATCCGGCACAGCTTTGCCAACATTCAACAAGTTATATTGAAAAAAATATGCATCTATATAATAGAGAAGAAAAAAATGTAAACATTAATTCGGGAAAGAAGTAAAGCGTTAGAACCTCTACTTCCCCATAACTGAAAAAACATACAAGTTAACTTGCGATAATAGGCTACAACAACAACCCAGTACCCATGGGTTTTGAGGAGGATAGGATGTACGCAATCTTATCCTTACCCTGGAAGGGCAGAGAGGTTGTTTCCGATAGACCCTCAGCTAAAGAAATGATGAAAGGAGCACGAATATTCAGAAAGCTGAAACCAAGATAGCAAAAGAAACGATGAAAGAAGTATTGATAGCAAGTAATAACAATACAAGATATGTAGTAATAGCAATCTAAGGATAAAATGATACCATACTAACACTAATACTATTGAACTAGGAAGGCAAAGGGAAACGTTCGACTCCTTTTAACCTTCTGGCAGCACTTGTGTCAAATTCTGCATACGCCATTGACATGGAGAATCTTCATGTTTTGTAGTTCTTTATTACTGAATTCAACATTGAATGTATTATGAATTTGCTCAAGATTTTTGTCTGATATCAGGTTCTTGACCGTGGTGAGAAGATTGAGCTTCTAGTCGATAAAACAGAGAATCTTCGATCACAGGTCAGCTTAATGCATCAGGAATATGTTTTGAGCAACTTTAACTGCATGATTGATGTGTCCACTTTCCTATTTCATTCCTTTAATTTTTATAAGCAAAAATTGTTTCCTGGTTTGTGCAATGGTTGTAATCTGTTATTTGCGATTTTCAGGCTCAGGACTTCAGAAAACAGGGGACCAAGATAAGGAGGAAGATGTGGTATGAAAATATGAAGATAAAACTGATTGTTTTGGCTATCATCATAATCATCATTCTCATTATCATTTTATCTGTCTGCCCGGGATTCAAATGCACTTGACTTGCATCAGACTACCTCTACCCCGAGGTTCTTATCTTCGATATATACCCTTATTCATGCTTGCTTGATCCATTTTTGATGTTTTAACCTACCAATCAGTCGGCGTTTTTCTTTCCCGAGGCAAATTCAAGATCTGAATTCAGAATGAACATGATCTTAAATCTTAATGTATACATATTTTATTTATTTTTTGTATTTGTATACATAGTTTGAGCTGAAAGCAATAGGTTCACTTGAACTCATAGAACCCCTCCTAAATCTGACTCTATTCCTTTCAATTGGCACTTAGCTCATGAGAAGCTGGATTGGCCTGTATTTTTGATGTAGATGAATAGGTAATCATGATTTGTTTATTACCTTTATTTTTCTTCGGGTGTTGTCTCTAATTCTTGTTCCCTGTTTCCCCAATTGAAGCCACAACAAGTTGATACTGTAAATGCTTTATTTCGCTTGTTATATATGTGACTCCAATGGCTACAAAACCATAATTAAAAGTCCATAGCTGTGATATTTTTGGAATTTCAAAGAAATATTGAAGAATATAATTACTTGTAGATTTATGGTTGAATCTTGTTTTCTCTTTGAAATAATAGTTCTTAATTTACTATCTCAAATTTTCAACCTGATAATTTCAACTAATAAACTCCATGTATTTGGAGAGTTAGCAAAAGGATGTACCTGATCATTGTTTGGGTTCCACCTCAATGAATCCTTGACAGTATGCTTGTGATAGAGGCCTTCTGTGTCAACTGAAACAGAGTATCGCTACAAGCATACGAATTAGACCACATTAGTATGAAGTACAAAGCTGCTGATTTTATATCTATATCAGAAGAACATTCTAAAGAACACAGTTTCCTTTCGAACAAATTATAAGAAACTGAGAGAAAGTGTCCTAATACCTCAATAAACTTGTGATATGGTAAACAATATGCAATAGATTCCTCTGCCATTATTAGCGCGAGCCGTTGGGAGTCCAATCAAAGTTGTGAATCAAAAGACAAACTAGTAAGTTCTTCCATAATCTTGGCCAAAATTGACATCCGGTTAGTCCTCACAGCTCAATACTGCATTTTCACTTAATAATCAACCTCAAGGGAAAACCAGGCAAACACTGCAAATATATGCAGGTTTGCATAATCAGAAACTAGCCCGGATGGATATTAGATATCAGAAACTTCCGTTCTAGCATAGACAAGGTTTAGGTAGCCCTTCCCAGGAATGCAGGGAGTATAAAGAGTTGAACATAACAGAGTGCAGAAATTGATGCAACAAACAAGTGTCATATTTCATTTACAATCATAATAAGATATTGAGGTTTTTACACACATCTATTCACTCTGTATTGTACATTAACATAGTGAATCAACTATATGGATAGCCCGATATTGACCATTTTGTGAGAAGAATTTTGAATCAATCCAGAAAAGAGCGACCCTTAGCAACGCATGATAAGAGGATTCTTCTCTTCTTCATTCTGGTCGAAACTCCATTCCTTGAACAATGAGGCCACCTTTGGCAAAGAGACGCCTAATCTCCATCAATCTTGCTTCAACATCTCCATCTTCTCCAGCATCATTGAAAAAATTTCCCATTTCTATTTCCATCCATCCATCAACTCTTCTCTTGGATCGCTTCTCACCTGCTCCTTCTTGTCTCGAAAGACTAACAACACTAGCTCGTTCCTCAGCTTTGTTGTTACTCTCACAATCAACAAATCTAACAAAAGCATTAGCAGTTTCAAGGCCATAAAATCCGTTTGCCAATTTGAACACTAGATAAACAACATATTTGGTTCTTTTTGACAATATTCGAGTTTCAATCTTGCCTCGCATATCAAGCCAACAAACAAACTGAAGATTAGCCACTTCCGAGAATCTGCAAAAAATTATAGTGCTCAAATTAGTAATTTTTTTCTAAATTACACAGGAAAGGAACAGACAAAATATAAAACCTGGAGTCGGGGTGAGATGACCATTTCCAATAATGTGGTGTATCACCCCATGAAATAACAAGCTCCCTTGCTGCAATCATAAAACACTTCTTCCCAGTCCCCTTATCCAATGAAAAACTCTATTTAACAAATAAAACCACAGATACACAATACATCAGGAATAAAAAATAAAAAATTTAAAAATAAAAAAGGGTCTTAGACTTTATCTACCTACATGAAATGGAATCCGGGACCAGACAACTGAATGCCCGTGATTGATCGGGCTGGGACGGTCACAGGCCGACCCTCCCCAACTTGACATGATTAGGGCCTAAATTGCTCGGACTCTTCACTTTCTGTGTCGCACCCGTGTTGACACGACATGGGCGTAGGTATGGGTGTGGGATCCGTACCGGATCTGGTCTACCGATTTTGGGTAATTTGACCAAAATCGATGGTGACATTCAGGACATATACAATGATTTATGAAACCAAAACAAAAGCTAGGGTAAAACTGAAGAAAATGGAATACTTTATATCTTTACCTTTTATCTCCTTTTCATATTCTCCTCTTGATCAATATTTGAAATATCTTTGTAAGTTTTCTACATAATTTAGACATATTGCTATTACTCTATTTCTGGATATTTGAATTATTTTTAGCCAAATCCCTGCATCTGTACCTGATCTGTACCACCGAATCTTAAAATTTAGATTATAAAGGATCCAACCACTAGATTTGCAGCCGCACCCGAGTCCGTAGGGCCCTTTTGCATTGACAATTAGCAGATTTTTTCTTGTATTCACGAACATAAACACATTTACACCTAAAATAAAAACTTTAAAAGGAAACAAATTGATACACTTTTGATCCTTAGTTATTTAATGAATGAAGATAGTGGTCCTTGTGATATCTAATTAAGGAAATATTACTCTAGGAAATATCTGTCATACTGTGATCCTTGTAAAATTATACATCAATCTTGGAAAAAATTCAGTAGAATTACTAATACAAACACATACTCCAATTAGTATATTATTATATATCACACACAACGTTCATTAATTAACAGCCTGGAAAAATTGAGACCAAAATAATAGTAGTAGTACATTTTAATCTATTACATATATTACCTGATCAAATTTTATAAAAGCCAAAAATTATTTTAAGAGTTTAAGTTTTTTGCGCTGAGGATATAAGAATTATTTACACAATCAGGTCACTTGAAAGATAATTACAAGTAACTTTATTTAATTAGCATTAATTAGAAACGTAAAACAAATGGTAACTAACATTCTCTAACAGGTTAAATTATACTCCTCCCTTTGGTCTACTTTAATTAATTTTTTAGCCTTTTATTTTTTGTGGTTCACAATATTTGATTTTGTTAGATATCAAGAAGGAGTTAACTTCTTCTTTGAAAAGTTGTCATTTGAGTAAAGAGCCTAGAAATATTTGCTATATTTCCAATGAATAAACTATGGTTAATATGGTCAATTTCATTGTTAATTAATACTAAAAGGTGGATTCCTTAAAAATTAATTAAAGTGAACCAAGAGGGAGGTATAAACATTTATTAACCACCATAAGTGATGTGGTGCAGTGTGTGCAGTGGATGGGGCTGCTCCTTCCTTACCCAGAGGTCTCGAGTTCTAGCCCTGGGTATGGAAAAACCCTTGGTAGGGAGCGCTACCCCCGAATGGGGCTTACCCGGCGCGAATCCGGATATAATCGGGCTCCAATACGGGTACCGAACACCGGATGGGAAACCAAAAACATTTATTAACCTATTAGTATATATATATAACTTAAATCCTTATTACTCCATCTCTTTTAATTACTCCTTCCGGTCAACAATAAGTGACCAATTTACTTTTTTATTATGGTCCAAAATAAGTATCTATTTATATAATTAAAAAAATTCAATTTTGTTTTTCCAAAATTAAGGGATGTACAGTATACCAAAAAAGTTATTTACCCCTCACATTTGATCACATTTGAAAATAGAAGTAAGTGCTACTATAACTATGTAGCAATATTTAATTAAGGTTAGTTTAGTCATACTAATTATTTTTGTCTAGAATTTAGTATTTCCTAAACGGTTGTACCCAAAGCAAATTGGTAACTTATGGTGGACCGGAGGGAGTATCGCTCCTTTCTAAATTATAAAATAATTTAACTTAAAACTTCTCATTTTTACCTTTTATAGCCACACAAACGTGATCACATATTTAAAAACTACAAGTTTCAATACTCGCAAATTCCAAAATCTTTCATATATTTTTTAAACTCATTCTCGCTCAAATAGGTTTATTACTCAGTAACTGGGATTAAAATCACAATCTTTTCTTAAAACACCAGCAAAAAAAAAGAGAGAGAGAAGAAAGAAAGGTTAGATAGTTACCAGTTTGCCGCCATCAGTGAGAAATGGGGAGTCACATAGACTAAAATAAAGCTCTTTTTTGGAAGGAGAAACCAAGAGTGAGTCTGATTTAGAGATAATATGTTGATAATCAGAGGGCAAAAATTTCTCCCAAACGACGTCGGATTCAGCAGCAGACTTGAATCCTCGTGAGATAGCTGAGGAAGTAGCAGCATCTTTGGGAGAAGTGAAGGACAGAATTTCCGATATGCAACCTTCTGGCAATAAACTAAAATAATCCATTCGCAAAACTTAATTGATTAAAGTTGCTGAATTTATATAGAAAACCAAGTACAAGCTTTGGAAACTACTTTGCACGTTGCTTTGTTTGTCTTCAAGGCGTCAACACGTGTTATGTTGGATAAGTATTAGTGGAACAGCTTAATACAGCTTGTTTACATGTTATTAGTTGTATCGTATTATCTATGTCTATCTATTAGCTCATTTGGTCAAGCTGCAAAAATCAGCTTATTTTGAAAAGTGTTTTTTTTTCAAAAATACTTTTGGTGAGAAGCAATTTGTATTTGGTTAATTAGTTTAAAAAATACTTCTGAGCAGCAATTAGTATTTGGTCAAGCTTTAAAAAACTGCTTCTAAGTGTATTTTTCTCAAAAGTGCTTTTGGAGGGAAGCTACTTTTTTCTGCTTCTCCAAAACTGCTTCTGCTTCTCCTCAAAAACATTTTTTTTCCTTTCAAAAGCTTGGCCAAACACCTCAATTTTTGGCCAAAAGTGCTTTTGGCCAAAAAAAAAAAAAGCCTCGCCAAACAGGCTATATATCTATATTATTATTAAATCAAGAATAATAATGTTGGTGGACAAAAATATCCCTCAAATATTTCCTACTTAAAGCAATTCAATGAAGGATATAATTGTAATATTGGATAGAAACTATTCAAAGTAAAACTTTTTCCTGTTGGGATTTAATTCCTATATTTAAGCAGTGAATAATAAAAATCTTCCTTAAATAATGAGTAATTAAAGCTCGCTTTCAATGAGTAGTTCGGATGCCTACTTCTAAAAATTTAAATGGTCTTATTTTAATTGATTTACCATAAATGTTTATCGTTTGATAATTATTATTAAAATTTTTTTGAAGTTTCATTTTGTGAGACTAAAATTGACAATGCAAAATAAAAAAATTATTATAAAAGCATGAATACAATGTCGGTTTACAAAAATAAACTTATAATATTAAGCATAATAACTCATAATAAAAGGACATAACCGTAATTCTATATATTATTCCTATAGTCCAATTAGTTTTAGGACATAATACTACGCGTTAGGAATCCTACATAATTACCTTTAGGAATCCTATTAGTATAATTACTTTCGGGCTGTTTAATTCATGTAAAAATGAAAAAGTAAATATCTTTAGTCATGTAATTTATTACTTTCACGATATACTTTTTAAAAATTCCTATTACTAATTTAATTTAATAATGTATTATAATGTACTATTACTAATTTAATTTGAGAACGTATTATATTGTCCAAATTCATTGAAAAAAGGAGAGGTTGTATTATTATAAAAGCATAAATACAATATTAATATACCGAAATAGCCCTAAATTATCAAATAGAAGAACTCATAGGAAGAGGACATAACTGCAATAACCTATTTTTTGGACTACAATACCTTCTACGCTAATTTTTAATAATTTTAAAATTAATAAAATTTTGTCTATTAAAAATATGGAGGAAAGTTTAATAAAATAAATTTCATAAGAATCCTCTGTATTGGCAATACATTATCACTCCATAATGTCAATACCAAGAAAAAATAAAAGTAATATTAAATGGATTGCATAAAGAGTTGAAATTGAGAAAAAAATACCCTCACGATAATATATTTATATTTTATTTGAACTATTTTCCTATTAAATAATATTTTGTAATTAATTTTTTGTGTAATATTGAAAAATACCCAATTATTAAACAACAACTAAGAAAATATTTAAGAATATATAAATGTGTGAAAAGAAAACAAAAATGGTTGATAAGAGTCAATGTCACTAATGATTCTACAAAATAAAGATATAAAAGCAAAATGTCATATCAATCTTTTACTCTTTGAAAATAAAATTTATGGTGAAAAAAATTATAATTAAGATTAAATATTAAAAATAAGAGATGAACTATATTAAGATCTGAACCAACATATAATAAATTATTTTTTATGCTAAAACTAAATAATTAAATATTTTAATAAATTATTTAGCAAGAGAATCCAATTCAATTATTTTTTAAATTCATCATATAAATAAAAATCTTATTCAAGTTAAAAAAGATAATCTTAGATTACATAAATTTATTCCATAAAAAGAGTATTAGAACATAATGTAAAAAGATTAGTATATTATTAAGAATCAAAATACCATACAAGTGATTGAGGAAGCACAATCAAAGCTAAATCCCAAACAAGAACAAACTTTCAAGACTATGTTATAAAGAGTCGACTCTGTCATAATGGGATTATTTTTTATAGATGCCTCCGGCAAATCAAAATAATATTTTTATGTCATACATTACTTACAAATATAATATCAAGAGGCATGACACTATTAGTAATATTATCAAGTGGTATACAAACAACGATTTTATTGTGACACCACCCACTTTAGATTTGATATACCTATTCAAATAACTTAAATAACCATCACAAATATATCAAAGTAGAGTAATAATGCTAAATTTGTAAGGAAAGCGAAATTGATAATATGGGATGAAGTACTCATGTCTAAGTGTCAAACGATCGAAATAATTTTCCGGAGTTCTAGAGATATATTGAGTATTAATGAACCGTTTGGTGGAAAATTAATGGTTTGAGATGTGAGTTATGTCAAGTACTACCAGTAGTTCCAAAATCGAGAAAAACAAAGACTATAAAAGCTAGCTTGTCAAAGTTATACTTCTTGTCTCAAACGAAAAATATTCAACTAACAAGAAATATAAAGCAGGGACAAATCCATTATTCAGTGTCTTTTTGCTTCGTGTCAGAAACGAAGAAGAGCATCCAATAAAAGATGAATTGGTTCTTTCTAAACACTTGATTATCAATCCCAATGGTAATAGTAGTGCATTTAATAAGAGAAATATTTCTATCATTAGATTAAAACACAATTTGTGCAAATCTCATGATAGAATTAAAAAGATATCTTAGCTATCAGAAATGAATGTTGATCAACTAAATAAAAGGTTGGTTGCAAAATTTTATAGTAAAAATAAAATATTTTCCTGTTTTTGACTCAGTAAAAAATGATACCAATAATTACTACAAAGAAGAATACCTAAGAATTTTAATACCAAATGACATTCTACCATATATGTTTGTTGTCAAGTTTATTATTTCTTACATATGTTAGTGCCACCGTTTATATAATAGACTAAGTTAAAATTGATCTTCCATTGTATATAAGTTGATTTTGAAGAAAAATATGATCGCCATGCTACTAAAAAACTTAGATACACCAAATAGCTTATGTAATAGGACATAGATGCTATATTGAAGTTTTGACAATAACGTCATACATGCAAAAATTATGATATTGGTCAATGTGATTCTAAGTATATTCTTATCCATGAATTCAACTTCCGTCTTCCGAAACTAAGGAATATCCTTTTAAATTTGTGAGAAAATAATTTGTAATATGTTTATGCTTTGCAAATATAATAAATAAAGCACAAGGACAAACATCCTAAATATTAGACTATATTTACCGCAATATATTTTCTTACATGAACAACTGTATATTGCACTTTCATGAGAGATATCAAGATCGACAACAAGAGTTTCTTGTTAAGGCAGAGCAACGAAATTATTAGGAGGAAACATACATAAAAAAATATTGACCACAAAGAAGTGTTCGTTAAGATATCATCAAATTAAATACTTTTAAATTATAATATATAATTATCCAACTAACATGACAAATTTGATCATTTGTGTAAGTTTGATAATGTTCTTTTACTTTAAATTCATGTATTATGCTAATGTAATAATAATTTTCGGTATTTAAATCATCATGTGCTATTATTAGCGTGCAACGCACGTTCATAGATGCTAGTTATTTAAAATGTAAGAGTTTATTTTGATTATTATTTAAATTTTTTTGTATTTTTTGTATTATATAGTTAAATTTATCGTCACGTAACGATGAAAAATGTCACTTTTTTGAACGATCAATTTGGTGTGGTTGCGTACCCTTTTTATTCCTCTCATTTTACCCTTCCTTATTATTAAATAATTCTATTTTATCATTTACCCTACTTATTTTTATAATAATTTTATCTTGTATCCTACTTTTTCTGTATAATATTACAAGTTTATTTTTATATTATTGGTGCATGACATCATGAAATGATGACAAACAATACAATATATTCAAACATTATATATATCTAAATAATACAATACAATACAATGTAAGTACAATACAATGTGATTGTGTAAATAAATTTTATTATAATAACGTGTATTTGGATATATATTAGCGGAACAGCTTAGTCAAATGAGAAAGATTGTAACTATTGGCGGTTAACATAAAAAATTGAAAATAGTAAATTACAATTTTTTTTTTTCAACGTAAAAGTATACAGATGATCATATAATCCCTTTTTCAATATTGATGGAACATGATAGGGATTCATATTGTCTTGCCCTCTGAAAAAATTGCTCATTCATTTTTATAAGTTTA